ACTTTAATCAGCTGTGCAAAACGGGGATCTTACACTATTAATTTTTTAATTAAATAGAACCCAACCAGAAAAACGGGGAGGTTTTTTACAAGTAATTTTTTGTTAATATCATAAAACGAGAAATAGTGATTATTTTACTTAATAAAATTACAGGAGAGGTGACAACAAATCCCGGAGATAAAGACTCTCCTACTTTAAGATAGTTGACGCGTGAAACACACCCTGCGTTATGTATATATGTTATGGGTTAATTACTTAAATTACACGTCAGCAGATGCGTGAACCAGAACAACACTTAAATTTTCGTCTCAAGAATTTCCAATAGCCATCTTTTAGTTTCGTCTAATAACCTCGCATGCCCCATGCATCGTAGTTCATATCCTTACTCAACTCCTTCCTCCGATATATAACCATCTGAAAAACAAGAAAATTATAAAAATGGGCAATTTTCTTAGGAGAAGCAGTGCAGTGCACCCGGTTTCCGGTGAAGGAGAAAGAGGAGGACAAGTGGCGGAGGCGGTGGCCGGAGAGAACAAGGGTCGTTTAAGGATTAAAGTGAGGATGAGAAGAGATAAACTGGAAGAGCTTTTGAATTTGGCGCGTCGTGATGGATGTGATCAATCGGACGGTGGTTGTAAGATTGGTTTCTTGATTCTTAAAGAATGTATGGAAGGTCGCTTACCGGCGAGCGTTCTTGGCTCCGGTGACGATGTTTGGTCTCAACGGTGTGGAAATCACTTGGTGTCTCGAAGATTGGGCTCAATCACGGAGGAATAGTTAATCAATATATGTCTCTTAATATACCCTAAAAATATACTACTTTAGTTTAAAATTTCAGATAGACAACATCTTTTAACGTTTTTCACATCACGATCATTTATGTTAGGCTAAATAAAAGAAGGAGTTTTCGTATTAAGAAGTGGATATGTTTGTGTTGTTAATTTCAAGATATAATGTTAATTTCTTTTTTTTTTGTCAACAAATTTAAGTCTATATATTATAAGCATACACATATATAAAATTCGAATTCATCTTTACATTTGAAAACCATCGTTGTCAGAAAAGTGAATTTGAGTTCGCTGCATGGAATATTTGTGGATGTCTTGAAAGGTAAATTACATTTAAATTTTAAATCCGAGACTACTTGAAAATTAAACTTCAAATTAATGATCAGTTCGTTTCTAACTAGATGAATGATTTTCTGATGCCTTTTTTATCAGTCGCGTGTTAAAAGAAATGTTTTGTATAAATCGAGGTTCGTCACGTGAAATTGAAATTTTAAATTTTGTTTTTTTGACACGATACTTTAAAAGGTTACTTTGCATTTTGTTTCAAAAATTAATTACTCCGTTCCGGTCAAAGTCAAAGATGATCGTTGGCGACGATATAATAATTTTCGTCGCAGCCGAAATTAATTGGGTATATCGTCGGCCCAAAATTAATATTTAGCGCATTCTATAACTTCTAAAATGGGCTTATTTCAGAAATCTTAATTAATCAAGGGCTGTATTACAGTACAACTTGATAAATAGATTCGTTGAAAAACAAACAATTTCATGGACAATCGTGAAACTTTGGTATCCATATAAATTCGGACCATGCCTAAGCACTAGCAGACGATTATGCATATATACAGACCGAGTTAAGTTGTTTAGATTTTTTTTTTTGATATCTGAGTATATATTTTATCAACAAAATCAAAAAGTATGATATTGTTTTCGTTACAATCGAACTAAATGAGAGATAACCAATTACATAGTTTAATCTAAGTTGACTCGTAATTTTTTTTTGTTCTAGATTCTTTCCACTCTGTGTGATATCAAGAAATGGTCTAAATCGGAATCTGATGTCGCTTGGATTTCATCATAGCTACATTACGTCTGCACATAAATTCCTATTTTATAATGCTTCTACGCATGTTATACTATACGATTAAGGTTTTGACTCTCTGTTATGGTATCAATATGTTGTCATTATCATTAACTCATGGGTTCTAATTAATAATAATAAAAATATAATCTCTCTGTTCTTCGTATACTGTAATGTGTAATGTTTGCTAGAATCCCTGTCTAGTTGTGGAATGCATGTCTCAGTTACTTCTCTGTTTTTTCAACCTTTAAAACTCTCATTCATGTCTCAAACTCTAAACCTCACTCTTGAATTGAGTTTCTACTATCTTTTTGTAAGGTAACGAATCTATGCTTTATAGTATCTATAGAATGGCGTTTACACCACATTGATTCAAGCTCTAATGTTAACAATTTTTGTTTTTGCAGATGGAGTCAAGAAGAAGTAAAGTCTGTGGAGAAACAGCTTGTGGGTTTTCAACTTCTTCAAGTGATGCTAAGGAACGAGCTGCTTCGATGCGAAAGCTCAGTTTTGTTGTGGTGTTATGTGTTTTGTTCATGAGCATAGAAGTTGTTGGCGGCATTAAGGCTAATAGTTTAGCTATACTAACCGATGCAGCTCATTTGCTCACTGATGTTGCTGCTTTTGCTATCTCTATGCTTTCCTTGTGCGCTTCTTCTTGGGAAGCGAATCCTCGACAGAGTTACGGGTTCTTCAGGATTGAGATTTTGGGTGCTCTTGTCTCAATCCAGCTCATTTGGTTGCTCACTGGGATTTTGGTCTATGAAGCCATTACTAAACTCATTCAAGAGACTAATGATGACGTTGATGGTTTCTTTATGGTTCTTGTCGCTGCTTTTGGTTTAGTTGTGAACGTCTTAATGATTCTTGTGCTTGGACATGATCATGGTCATGATGGTCACGATCATGGTCATAGTCATGAGCATGGTCATGGACATGGACGTGGTCATGATCATTGTCATGGGGATAACGCTGAGCAATTGTTGGAGAAAACGAAGGAAAGGAGGAACATTAATGTCCAAGGGGCTTATCTTCATGTTCTTGGGGATTTAATACAGAGCATTGGTGTAATGATTGGAGGGGGAATGATTTGGTATAACCCTAAATGGAAAGTAATTGACTTGATATGCACGTTAGTCTTTTCGCTTATTGTTTTAGGGACAACCATCAAGATGCTTCGAAGCATACTTGAAGTTCTAATGGAGAGCACACCGAGAGAGATCGACGCGAGGAAGCTCGAAAAGGGATTGATGGAGATTGAAGAAGTGGTGGCTGTTCATGAGCTGCACATTTGGGCAATCACAGTTGGAAAAGCTCTGTTTTCTTGTCATGTCAAGATTAAACCAGAGGCTGATGATGGTTTTGTGCTTAACAAAGTGATCGATTACATCTGGAGAGAGTATCGTATCAGTCACGTTACCGTACAAATCGAGCGTTAAAACAACAAATCAAGCTCGAGAACGGTTAATTTCTATGGTTTTCTGTCATTTTCGTGATCAAATTTCAATCTTTTTTTTCGCTTTCTCGTGTGCTATCCATTACATTGTTGTGACATATGCCATTGTTTTTTTTTTGTTTATGAAGAAGCTTTTTTTTTGGTCTCGTCTTGAAAAAGGTAATTAAAAGGACATACATTTACCTGAGATTAGGTTGTGTTACTATAGATAAGAATCTGAATCTTTAGGGTTTATCTTTAAAGATAGGCCTTCCCCAAAAAAGAGAGTGGGGCATGTTTTGTCCTGAGAGCAAGTAACCATAGCTCGTGCGTGACAGTAGCAAACCATATCACAGTACACATTTGATAAGAAAATATTCAAACTTTCTTTGGAGTTTTAGTTTTGTTGATAAGGTTTCTAAGGTCTTCGTTGACTACGCAAAGGCTGATTCTTTGTTACAAAGTTTAAGAGACCAGATATGAATTTAACCGTTAGGAGTGAGACTTTGTAGACAAAATTGGGACATTTCATAGTACAATACTGTTTAACGCCGTAGAAGCCAAGGCATCAATAACAGATAAGATTCCTCAATGTTGTTATATCCGTAGAGTCAACTCTCTATTTTTTATTCATATTGTAATCAAGATATTATACAAAACACACACTTTCAAAACCTTAATTCTATTCAAGTTAATAATTGGCTTAAAATATTAACACAACATGATGGAGAGGAGGCATCATAGTTTCTGTAAAAAGTTTAAGCTTTTTGAGCCTTGAAGAAAGGAATGGTGTGGTATGTAAGTGTAATGTATGTTATGGTATGGGTATAGTGAAAGAAAGGATGATTGAGACATCATGAGAAAGATGACACAAACCCAATAGAAGCTCTCTTACCCATGACTTGTCCCTTTTTACCTTCTTCTTCTGTGTTAATTTAGAATGTCCCCACAAAGTCTCTGTCTCCACTTGAAGACAAAACTGCCTCCACCAATAATCTCTCTCCCCCTCTCTCTCCTCTGCTCAGCTCAGCCTCACCAACTCTTACAGTACCCAAATACATCTATTTTTATTACCTCTCTGTATTTTTACAGCTCCTCTGTTTCCTCTCTACTCAGCAGCTACTAAAGAGACTCGCTGTTCTATATAAAGCCAACAGTTACAAGTCCAGAAAGCCTCAGAATCAGAAGAGAGTACATGAGTTTCCTCTTCTGCCTCTTTTGTGCTTCTTAGCATTTATTGTTACACACATCATCATTGCATAATAATACATAACAAACAAAAGCTCTCAAATGGAGAGGTTCCAAGGACATATCAACCCCTGTGTATGTATCTTTTGCTTAATTTAGGAAGCTTTCACTTTCTTTCTTCAATCTTTTTCTCTTCTCTTTGAATGAATCAATTCCTTTTTTTCCATATGCTCAGAGAAATGGACTTGCATTTACTCTTTTCCTAACGAGCCCAGATGATTTTGCATTCAATGCCTTTTCTTGTTTTGTTTTACAGAAAACAATAACAATCCTGCAATCATTTTGTTTCCCTCTCTTTTGAAGACATTCCATTTTCATTTCCACTTTTGTTTATCTCTGTACTAAACCCTCCAAATCCTAAACAAACCCACCGTAGAAGTAGATTACGCTTTGGTCTTTCAATCATTAGCCTCACCGAGTAATCTCATTCCTCTGTCTTCCTTTGCAGTTTCTGGATCGAAAAGCGGACGCGAGAAGCCTAGAAGTTGAAGGATTTGCAGAAGCTCAAAGCTTTGTCTTTAAAGAAGAGGAAGAAAGCTTGCAAGATACAGTTCCATTTCTACAGATGCTGCAGAGTGAAGAAGACCATTCGCCGTTTCTGTCAATCAAAGAACCAAACTTTCTAACGCTATTGTCTCTTCAGACACTCAAAGAGCCTTGGGAACTCGAGAGCTATCTTTCACACGAGGTTCCGCAGTTTCATTCACCGGTCCAATCCGAGACCAACCGGTTCTATCACAACCCAGCTTCAGCATCAATAGCCATGGAAGGAGCCAATCAAGCTTTGTCAAGCCAAGAACTTCCCTTTAGCCAAGCAAACATGACAATCCCTTCTTCTTCCTCATCACCACGCACTGCAAATCCAAGACGCAAACGCAAAACCAGCCACTTGCCGCATCCAGAAATGGCGCAGGATAAGAGAAGGAGGAGGAAAACTAAACCAACCAAGAACATTGAAGACATAGAGAATCAAAGAATAAACCACATCGCTGTTGAACGAAATCGACGGCGCCAAATGAACCAACACATCAACTCCCTCCGTTCCCTTCTCCCACCTTCCTACATCCAACGAGTAATATCAGCAAAATTATACGTGAAAGCATCAACCTTTAAACCTCAAAACTCCCCAAAAATCTCTTAAATTTGCTTACTTTTTTTTTATTTTCCTACAGGGAGACCAAGCATCCATAGTAGGAGGAGCGATAAACTACGTGAAGGTCCTCGAGCAAACCATACAATCTCTTGAATCGCAAAAGAGAATGCAACAAAGTAGTGTCGACGTGACTTATGATCAGCATCTGTCAGGCATTTCGTCGAGCGACTTGTGGACGACTCAGGAAGATCAAACTTGTATCCCCAAAGTCGAGACCACAGTGATACAAAACCACGCCAGCCTTAAAGTTCAATGTCGGAAGAAACAAGGACAGCTTCTCAAAGGAATCACTTCACTCGAAAAGCTTCGACTCACTGTTCTTCATCTCAATATCGCTGCCTCCTCTCATTTATCTGTCTCTTATTCCTTCAACCTCAAGGTAACTACTTTCAATTTCTTTCTAAATTTCAATTTACAAAAAAAAAAAAAACTAACATTGAAAAATGCAATCTTTAATGAAAAAAATAATAAATTTTCCTTTATTTCGTTGGACCAGATGGAGGATGACTGTGAACTAGAATCAGCCGACGAGATAACGAAGGCGGCATATCAGATTTTTGACATCCGACGATTTGATTAACACATCCGAAAAGAAAATAAAAAGCTGACATATCTTTTTCTTTTTATAAAATCGTTGAAGTAGAGAGCGAAATATCATCCCTTTTTGTAAGAAATAAGAAAGAAAGAAAAAAAAGTTTCGTTCTTTCGTTCTTTCGTTTTCCGACTGACGGAATTAAATTGTGTTTTGTTTGTATATTATTGGATTATTCGATCATGTTTTGGGATTTGGGTGTTTTTGGTCCCGTCTATTTAAAGTTTGACCTTATGTGCATTTATGATATTTTCAATCATGGTTTGACTTTTGTCTCTATTTTTAAGGGTTTGACTTCTTGCTCATTGACAAGATATATAAAACTGTGTTCTCTTTTAATGGTGTGACCTTCAGAGAAAGTAGATTGTTGTTATACGCCGAATCTTAAAAGACAAATGTTGATGTTCAAGAAAGAAACCATTTTTGGTACTTCAAGCTTTTGATATTGCACTATACAATGTGGGAGGGCAAATACTATTTGGTCACAGCATCATGAATATAGAGTAACCGTTTAGAAATTTGAAGAAAAAGAAAAAAGAAAATCCAAAAATAAAAGCCCAAATGTTGTTATAAACTTGACTCAAGAGGTAGTGGTAGAGCCATGAAAGAGTCTTCTTCTGTACAAAGAGTCTGCGGTCGAGTTTAGCTAAAGAAGAGACCGACGATGCTGCAAGTTAGAGATGTAGTAGAGAATCCGCTTCTTGTCGTCAAGGGTTAATGAGAAAGGAGGGTTTAGAGATAGAGTCACTGCTTCCTCAATTATAAAGGAGAGTAGTAGAATTGCTTTCTTGTATAATGTTGCTGCACTTTCCTTGTTATTCAAATATTCTTCCGCCTGCAAACAAAAAACAAAACAATGGATCCAACCCAACAAAAAAGCTTCAGACTTTCAGGACAAAAGGATGAATCAAAAAGGTGGAAGCTTTTGACAAAAGTTTCAGACATTTTGTAGGACAAAATGGTACAAAAAAGTGGAAAAAGATTGAAACTTTTTTACTTACCCCACCACTCTTGCCGTATGCTAGTGCCTTCTCGTATAGTGTTTCCATGGCGTCAGGCATATGAGTAGCAGCTGCAATGAAACGTAAGGATATGCATTTAAAGAATGTGCAACCAAACATGAAGGAGAATGCTCGGTTTTTAAGTACTGACCGCTTGTTTCGTTTAGTCGAGTTGATGAATTCTCGGCCTGGTTAAACGCGGTCACAAACTCTTGTGTCACCCAAGTTTTAGCCAGTGCTGGTGAATTCAACTCTGGATTTGTAGTAGTCCCGGGAGCTGTGCTTGGATCTGAGTTCACTCTATCCTCTCCAACAGAGATTATCCAAGAATCGCATATCTCTATAGCTTTTGTCCAGATAGCCAAAACGACGAGCGTAACAGCAAAAGATTCCTTTGCCTGTCCTGCATTGCCCTGTATGCAACGGTATTAGAAGCTCTGATGTTAATCATTTGGGACGAGACTTGAGGAAACTAGGAGTCGAAGTTACCATCTCACGAGCTACTTCTGTAAGTGCTTCTGCATACTGATGCAAAAGCTGGAGCTTGGTTGGAGGATGAACGATAGTTAACCGTTGTACTTCTGTTAACAGATACGATCCGCTTGCTGGTCGTGGACCTGACCCACCAGATAACGGTCTCTGTGCTTCAACTGAACTTGATGAACCTTTCTCGTTCCTCGGCAAGAAATTAGGAATCCCGGAATCTTGCAGTGATGTGTCGAAACAATCTGATGAACCTTCCAGCGAGGCAGAAGGACGGTTTACAAGAACATACTCTCGCTCAATGAGCTCAAGTGAGTCAAAAACTGCACGAATGACAATAGTAAGCGATACTGAGCTTACAAAAGCAATAGAGATAAAGACACAAAATGCGAACAACAAACCTCCAACTTGATTTGATGAACATTGTCCCTCAGTGTCTTTTCTAGTCTTCTCGCAAGAGACGTGCGGCATCAAAATGTGAGATGTTGAGGCACTAGAGGAACTCCCGTGTTTGTAGACATTCTCTGCACTTGGTTTGAATTGGTTTGCACTACTCGGTTGTGCAGAGGGCAACGATGATTTCCCCGTAGAGTTAGTAGACTCAGAATGCGCAACACCCGGCACGTGTCTGACAACATTCCGTGTGAAAGATGAAGCCAAGAATTTAAAGGTATTGATGGTTACGAGTGATTGAAGAACTCGAGACATTTGATGGTTTAATCAAAATCTCAAGACATTACCTTGGCTCCTCAAGGAACCGGTGACTGAAGAACTCTCGGAATGTCAAGCGTTCAACTGCAGTCAAAAAGACGTATAAAAATATTTTGAAATGTGATTTGGTTGGTCGTAAGATAAGTAGACAAACAAAGAATCCCTAAAACAAGTACTTGGGTTTCGGCGTAGAAGACTTCTGCACAGATTAACACAATCTGGATGAAGCTCATTCAAAGCATCTTCAGGAAACTTCAGCTCAGTGTCTCTCACAATATTGTGAAAAAGCTGTAGAGATCATAACACAAGCATTAGGGTAAAGGGTATAACTTCACTAATGAAGAGGCAATTCATTATGGGTTCAGGGCAACGAACCTGGATGTGATTAGTCCCATCAAAAGGTGGCTTCCCAGTAACAAGTTGAAACAAAATTGCACCGGCACTCCATAAGTCAGCCTGAGATATCCATTACACAATTACATAATGAGAGAGAAAAAATTGAAAAAGATTAAATCTTTTCTCAGATCGATGAAGTTTCTTCACCTTTGCATCATACTTTTGGTTCCGGATAATTTCTGGAGCCATATACAATGGTGAACCGCAAAATGTTTCCGCCATGCTCTCCGGTGTAAGAGACCTACCAAAATCCAACATTACTTACTAAACTAAGACCTTCCCCATTAAATAAGAAAACATTTTTGGACATACCAAACGTAAACAGTACCTTGCAAACCCAAAATCTCCTATCTTTAGCAATGGAGTTACTTCCTCGGACGATAAAAGTAAATTCTGAAAACGTTTGAAGAAGAACAGAACCATGACTAGACTTTTTTTTATCATAGCCATCAAAATACAACAACATAAGAGACTTTTAGTTACCTGAGGCTTTAAATCTCGGTGGATAAAATGCTTCTCTTGAAGTACTTGCAACCCTAAAGCTACAAGACACAACACAAGAACAAAAACAGAGATTCAAACATCAACAAAAACAAAAAAATTCAAACTGCAAACATGAAAAGACCTGAAAGCAGATAAATTTCGTTACCCAATTGCCTCATAAAATGCTTAGCAACAGCTTCTGATACTTTGCCATGGAGATTGATGTACCCAGCAAGATCACCTCCACTACAATACTCCAATACAAGAAAAATCTTATCTCCAGTCTACAAAATTCGAGTAAAAAATTCCCCAACTTCAATACCAATTTCAACGGAATTATCAAAAAGTTCACGGTTCCTAAATAAAACTAAACCTCGATAGCTTCGTAGAATCGGATGATATTGGGATGATCGATGGTGCTGAGGATCGAAATCTCCTTGAGAAGATTGTCTCTGACTTTAGGGCTAAGGAGTTTCTTATCAATCTCTTTCACGGCGACTTCTAAACCGGAGGATCGATGCTTCGCCAGCCACACCACGGCGAACGAACCGGACCCGATTTTCGGACCAAGTTCGTAGTCACCCACAAGTCGTGCCGTGTCCATCCGGGTTCTGGGTTTGACCCGTTTAAACTCTCGGATCCTTAGTTGAATTAACCTCCATTGGTTTCTTCTACTACGACACAGATTATAACGAACGAACAGTGAGCAAAACGAAACGAAGAAAAATCACAAACAAAAATTTCCGGATATAGAACAACAAACTGTTTTTGTTAACGAAAGGAGACGATGTAAGTGATTGATTTATATAAAATATTGTACAGTAAAGCAATCAACTTTATTGTGTTTTGTATTTTTTTCAACTTTTTTTTGTTTTGTGTGTGGGAGATTGAGATTTGGTTTTAGCTTATGAGCAAAGAGTTTCTTACTTGTAGTCCAGAAGAAACCTTCAAAAATTGACGTCTTGGATCCAAATTCCACGAGGAAAGGACCCAAGGGAAATAACTTAGAATATTACCTTTTTAATAATCAAAATTTAATTCTTACCCTTCACAAAATTTGAGTATATGATCAAACCTAGCAAAACTTTTGTTATTTATTTTTATATAGCTCTTTGATTAATCTATTAGTTAGTTTTCAACAATAGATCTCAAAATATGGTACTTTTTATATTCAAATATTGGATTCTATGATTATCTATTAATGATATTAAACGATAATCAAAGATGTATAGGCTTCGCTTTACTAATTATCCCATTCACAGAAGAAAAAAAAGAATAAACCAGTAAAGAAGCTATCGTATTCATTATTACTCCGACGTGTTATTGACATAATCACGTTGTTTAAATGTCTAAATAAAACGTAGATATATAAGATGTATTGTAGCCAATAACAAAATGTCCTCGTGATTTAGAATGACGGATACAAATATTATATATATATATATATCAAAGGATGTGATATAGATATTGATGAAGTCTATAAAATCTTTTGGTACGGTGATAAAAGCCGACAAAACGAAAATTAGTCTATCGTTTGTTAAAAGCCACATCACCTTTGACCTGGCATAATCAGTGGGGCCAGCTCTAATTATCATGAAATTAAAAAAATCTCACGTAAAGGTGCCACGTAACTCAGCCCATTAGAGCCTTGGGCCCAATTTTGTTGAAAAAATGCTAGACGAACTATAATTATCACCGTTACCAAACGGATAAAGGAACATGCATCACACCAATGGGCTATAAGTTGGCCCATATTAATTGGACTTTTCCCATTTGATATGAATTCCCAACTCCTCTTTTTTCTAATATATAGAAGATGAATACGACAATGGGATGTAATTAGACTCATATAGACAGAGTCATGATCTAATGACTCTTAAGAAAAACAGTGTTTAAGTAAACGTATATGGAATT